GAACAGCCCTGGGCTGGCAGCAGTGTCCTTCCCATGTGTGCTGATAACATCTCTGCATCAGGGATGGAGCTGGCACTGAGCAGCCTCAGGAATGCGCAGTCTTAACAATGGCCCTTCCTCCTCATCCCTCCCTGCCACTCATTTCCCACTTGGACTGAAGATAAAAAGCAGAGAGAAGGGGGAGAAGTCACCTGGATTGGGGCAGGAGCAGCCAACTGTGGGCAATACATCAGCAGTAGTTCCATTGGAAATAAGGCATTTACATTGGGAGCATCAGTTCATGTTGGCAGCACCCAGTGGTGACAACGTGCTCATCTCTGGAGCATTTCATCTTTTCAGAAGAGCTGGAAAGCCTTTATCATCCTCATGTGATAGAAGGTTATCACCTTATTGCCTTCTAAACTGGGAGCAGAAATGCACTTGTAGGTGTTTGTCCTTTCTGCACACTCCCCAGCAACTGCTGTTTTGGCCACCGAAGAGAATTGCTGCCTGTGGAACAGGGATGGGGTGTTGTTAAAATCTTTCTCTTCTGGTAGGCTCCCATTGGAGGCAGCTCCCTGCTATGGCTCGTAGAAAACACACCCCGTGGGTCATGAAATATTGGGTATTTCTTCATGGGTGCCCCATGGCACCCACCCATCGCCAAGGGGAAGGCAGCTGGGGGTGTTATGTGCTGCAGCATTTCCACCCCATCCGTGTTTACATTCCTCTCTGATCACCAGTGCAGATAACGCCAAACCCACATCCACTTTGCCCGCCCAAGGGCTGTTTGTGCAGATCAAAGTTGCCCCCCCAGTAAACAAACCCATCCTGCCCATGGGAAGTGCCTCCACCCTGCGAGGGAGAAATCCTGGGGACGATGTTTGCAGGAGATGCTCTGCACACCTAAATGAACCCTGGGTGCTGCTTGGCTCGTGATCTGCAGAGGAATTGGGCATGGCAGGGAATGGCACAGCGTGGGCAGACATTTTGGTGTTTTCAGGAGCTCAGGGCTGCTTGGCACAAATAGTGGGGTTCAGCCACACGTCAGGTGCTGGAGCATCCCTACAGCCCCGCTGCCAACTCCTGCCCACTGCCTGAACCCAGCAGCACAGCCCTCAGGAATGAACCTTCTCCCCATTTACAGTGCATTTCTGAGAAATCTCCCAGAACCAGGAGGAGCTTGGGGTGAAAAATAGCCGTGATGACATGGGAGTGCTGAGCCTGATGTGGCCGCTGCCATTGCTGCTGTTGTTTCCCTGTTTTGCACACGGAGCAAACACAGCAGGGACAGGCATAGGCAGGCTGCAGGGCTGTGGTACATGAGGATAAAGATGGGAATGGGGATGGCACAGGTGGGGCGTGGGGCTGTGTTGGGGTTTTGGACATCTGAAAGAAGCAGGATCCAACCCCAGCCTGCAGACACTGCCTGCTTTCACCCTGCTGTCACCCAGAGGATTCTTCCCTTCTCTGTCTGCAAAACCAGCTGCTTTCAGATGTTATTTTTTCTGCTATTGTTTTTTTTTTTTTACAGAAGTTTCCACATTATTATTATTATTTGTGTGTGTGTGTGAAATTGGTGCCACTGTTACTGCAGACTTGTCTCTCCTTCCCATCCACTTCTGTTTTTCTTTAGCAACAGCTGCTGGAAAACCAGTCAGCAGGAGCGAGGGAAAAGCACTGGTGAGCATGTCTGCAAAGCCTTGGCAGAGCACATAAAAGCGAGCAAATCCCTTCAGCTCAGGGGATGGAAATGCCCTGGAAGCCTTGCCATGTGCTCTATGTTCCATACCTGACTGCACTCCCACCTGAAGCATCTGCCCACCCCACGGGGCTGGGATGGGAAGGGCAGGATCACACCGTGCATCCCTTGCAGATATGATGGATTTGGAGCATGCCTTGGCCAGCTTGGTTCTAAAAATGGCTGCTTGCATGGAAGCCAGCAGAACATCCCATTTTTATTAGTTTTAATTGTTTGGTGCAGAGAATGCTTCACTTCCTGCAGCTGCCCAAGCCCATCCGACAGCCCTCGGGGAGGAGAGTTTATGGAGAGCTCAGAGTTTATGCAGAGCTTCCTCCAGCCTTCCTGGGACAGGCAGTACCCAGGGGTTAATGCTCCCTCACAGCCTGTTTATGTGCTGACAAGGAAACATGCTGACAGATCATCCCAAACAACTTCAAAGAAAGATTTGGGAATCCGATATGGAAACTATTCCCAATGTCTCAGCACGGCGAGCCCCAGACTAATTACCAGCACAAACATTAAAGGCAGAAAGGGACCATTGCCAACAGCCATTGCCATTGCCCGGCCCTTTGCCCACCCCAGGGCTCCATCCTGATGCCACACCATAGGTTTTGGGGTAAACCCATGCTCCCTGAGCAGCTCCTGCCCTTTCAGCATGGCCACGTAGCCCTGGGGATGCACTGCACTTTGCAATGCAGCCTTGACTCCAGCAGCACTCTGACACCATCCCTTACTGGTGCAAAGTAAGGGTGCAGCTCTGCCTCTGCCCTGCTCTATGCACAGCTCTTCTTTTTCCTGTCCTGATGAGGAAGAGGAGCTGGCAGCACCCAGCCTGCGGTGGCAGTGGTGATGCTGCAGTGGCTCACACTGCTTTTATCACTTGTTCTGTAACAGCAAACATGCAGACAGCGCGCCGGGGAGAGCAAGAGTTCCCAGCTATAAAAAGCTTTTGTTTTATCCTGATGTGGCATCAGCCTGACTCAGGCTTGGCAGGATTCAGTGTGCTGCTTTTAATGACGCTGGGAGGAGAAGCTGGCGTGTGCCCATCACTTCTAAGCTCCCTTCCCTCCTCTCTGCCTCCCCCGTGCCTTGGAGCCAAGGCACAGCCAGTTCTATGGGGTTCATGGGTGCAGTTACAAACTGAACATGAGAAATGGAGGATTAAAGCTCACAGGAGTGCTCCCCCCTACCTGCACTGTGCCAGGCACTGGTTTATCTGATGTACACCTCATCCCCTCACTGGGTACAGGGGATTAATAGGACCTGAGCACTCCCTGTGGGCCTTACTCACATTGTTAGGGCTTGCTGTGTGCATGCTGCCTCCTTGGCATGGGGAATGCTGCAGGACAGGGGCTAACTGGCTCCACATCCCCTTAGGCAACAGTGTCAATGTGCCCAGACTGTCAGGACCAGGTGAGATCTTCCTCCTTCCAAACAGACCCATGGGTGCTGGAAGCTCCCAGAGCACAGAGCTGTGCTGCTCTGCCTGTTCCCACTGCAATTCTGCTCCCTCCAAGAAGGGATCTTCTCTAATCCATCCTGTCTCTATCTATAAAGATGTATTTTTAAAACATCCATTGTTTATTCTGTAGCAACAGCCAAGGGAGCTGCTCTGATCTGTGGCATAAACATATTTTCCCAGAGTTTTCCAAACAGCCACTTGACCCCATGGGTCCCCATGGCTGGCAGGGCTCCCGCTGCTCAGCACTGTGCAGGTGGCACATGGCAGAGGTGGCAGAGGGGACACATCCCATGGTGGCTGCTGGGTCTGGAGGGGGACAGCAGGGAGACAAAGAGACAGGAGGAGAAAGCAAGAGAGAGCTGTGAAGGATCTCTGCTTTGCAGGAGGCATTTCCAGCCTCTTTGCTGGTGGGTTCCTGCTCGTTGCAAGGAGCCAGATGCAGTGCTGGTGGAGCAGCCATCTGGGCTTCAGCTTTTCCAGCTGCAGAAGTGGGATGAAAACACTGAGCCACGCTACTTCCCCTGCATTAATAAAACAACAGAGACTCTTTCTTTCTTTCCCCTGGAAAGTGCTCATGCTGGGAACGGAGGGCTCCTGGTGATCCTTCACAGCAGGAGGAAGGATCTCACATAGGTTGTCCACATGGCAGCAGGCAGATGGTCAGAGAGTGCCATGAGCATGCAGTAAAACACCCAAATGCCTCCATTTTCTGTTATCCATTGCCATTCCCACAGCATTTCTTTATTCTTTCAGACACACTCACTATGGCTCCACGTGCCAGCACACACTGAGGTTACATATGCCATCACATTAAGAAGATTGTGGCTCTCCCTGTGCACATTTTGCTCATGCCATGCGTCGTTTGAGCACAGTGACACCTCACACTGGAAATAGTAAACTCAGGGCTCAGCCCGTGCCAGCAATTAGTGCCAGAGCTGGAGCTGAAGGGGTTGGTTGCATCAAGAGTTCATCTGACTGCTTTGAAGAACCCAAACAGTCTTGTAAAGATGAAGCTTGTAAAAAAGCAGGCTCTGTTTTGCTAGCTCATGAATGGGAAGAAATGCCAACTGGATAATTTTTTACACATTTTCTTTCCTTCTTTGTCAACATTTCCCCATTTGGCCGAAACTTCAAAACGCCATATTTGGAAAGTGCCTGTATTAGAAGTTCCAGTATTTGTATAAATAGCTGATAGTGAAAAAATTGCCTGCCCTGGAGTCTGCCCAGGGGCCTTCGGAAGGAGCAGCGCTGGGAACAGTGATGGGGTCTGGGGTTGGGATGGGAGCAGCACGGTGCCCCCCAACTCCCTGGACATCCTGGAGGATGGAGTCTGGGGATCCCAAAATCACCAGCACTGACTCAAACTGAGGGGGTTGCAGTGCATGGCTACAGAAGTTGAGGAGAGGGTTCAGGCATTAAATGTAGGGGTGAAAGAGCGGCTGTTGGATGACTTCTTTGGGGTGAGGCTGTCATTTTGCCATCCCTGTGCTGATGGCAGTCGGGTCGGTGTCTTCACTGCGTACCCTGGAATGTGAGGAGCACAGACAGGAGCACAGAGCAAAGAGCTGGGATGCAGGGCAGGACGTACAGTAAGGAACTAGAAGCCGTGTAACGTGGAGAATAAGGGCGGGTGGGATGAGGGGCGCAGTTGGGTCCGGCTGCGCAGTGTCGGGGGTGTCCGACCCGGGGGGCGGAGGGGAGGCGGTGCTGCCGCTCTGCTTTCATTGATCTCCGCAAAGGGGCAGCCCGGGGCCGCCCCGTGCCTTTAAAGGCTCCTCCTCCGAGTAGCGGTCGCGGACGGAGTCCGACGTCGGTGCAGCCTCGACGGCGGCGGCCGCTCCGAGCCCCGCTCCGGCCCCAGCAGCCGTGGAGCGCACGGGGCGCAAAGGATTGCACGGAGCTGGACCGCCCTCCCCCCGCCGAAGCGATGACCCCGCTTCCCACAGGCAACGGCACCGTCCCTAATTGCAGCTGGGCCGCCGTTCTGAGCCGGCAGTGGGCGGTGGGAGCCGCGCTGAGCATCACCATTCTGGTCATCGTGGCTGGCAACCTCCTGGTGATCGTGGCTATTGCCAAGACGCCGCGGCTGCAGACCATGACCAACGTCTTTGTCACCTCGTTGGCCTGCGCCGACCTCGTCATGGGCTTGCTGGTGGTGCCACCGGGGGCCACCATCCTGCTGAGTGGCCACTGGCCCTACGGGACGGTGGTGTGTGAGCTGTGGACCTCTGTGGACGTGCTGTGCGTGACGGCGAGCATCGAGACGCTGTGCGCCATCGCCGTGGATCGCTACCTGGCCATCACGGCACCGTTGCAATATGAGGTGCTGGTGACCAAAGGCAGAGCGTGGGCTGTGGTGTGCATGGTGTGGGCCATCTCTGCCTTCATCTCCTTCCTGCCCATCATGAACCACTGGTGGAGGGATGGGGCGGATGAGCAGGCGGTGCGCTGCTACGATGATCCGCGCTGCTGTGACTTTGTCACCAACATGACCTACGCCATCGTCTCCTCCACCATCTCCTTCTATGTGCCTCTGCTCGTCATGATCTTTGTCTACGTCCGTGTCTTTGCTGTGGCCACACGCCACGTCCAGCTCATCGGCAAGGACAAGGTGAGGTTCCTGCAGGAGAACCCCAACCTCAGCTCCAGGGGCGGGCGGTGGCGTCGTCCCTCCCGCCTGTTGGCCATCAAGGAGCACAAGGCGCTCAAAACCTTGGGCATCATCATGGGCACCTTCACGCTCTGCTGGCTGCCCTTCTTCGTGGCCAACATCATCAAAGTGTTCTGCCGGCCTCTGGTGCCCGACCAGCTGTTCCTCTTCCTCAATTGGTTGGGCTACGTCAACTCAGCCTTCAACCCCATCATCTACTGCCGCAGCCCCGACTTCAGGAGCGCTTTCCGCAAGCTGCTGTGCTGCCCACGCCGTGCCGACCGCCGGCTGCACGCTGCCCCACAGGACCCGCAGCACTGCTCCTGTGCCTTCAGCCCCCAGGGGGACCCCACAGAGGACAGCAAGGCTGTGGACCCCGGGCAGCTCAGGGAGGACAGCGAGGTGCAGGGGAGCTGCAGGAGGGAGGAGAATGCCCCATCCCATGGTGGTGGCCACCAGCAGCGGCCCCTGGGCGAGTGCTGGCTGCAGGGCACGCAGAGCGTGCTGTGCGAGCAGCTGGATGAGTGAGTACTGTGTGCATGCTGGGAGGGTGCTGTTCTGGGGAACTGCTGGTGATGGGGCTGTGGTCTGATGAATGCAGAGCTGGTGAGCAGGCGTTCTCACTGGGATGGGGTATAGAATGAGAATTGCTGCCCAACGCCTTTGGGGTTCCCTAAACCCCTCTGCCAGGCTGCAGAGCTGAGGTTCTTAGTGCACCCCTGGCCCCATCTCACTTTGTCCCTTTCTGGGAGTGCCCCAACAACCAGAATGAAGTTCATTTCCTCAGGTAGTAAAACGCTACTGGGACACCACGAGTGTGTTCCTGTCCCTGGGATCTCCTCCCTTCTCCTCTCACTCCCGATGACTTCAGGGAGCCCCTGCTGCCATGGGGAAGGTGTGGGCTCTTTACACTCCATGCTCTCTCATTTAAGGTTCACCAGCAGAGAGATGCCGGCGGGTCCCTCGGTCTGACTGGGAAAGCAGCAGAGCAGGGAGCACTGTAAGTGTGTGTTCCCTCTGGGAGCAGTGCCACAGGAGACCCCAGTGTGTGGCTGCAGCAGGGCCACCCCTGTCTCTGCAGCAGTCCCCTCTGACCAGCTTGGCTGTCCCCTTCCCTGGGGGAGCTCAGCTCTTGGCTGGGTCACAGCCATGTGCCTGCATTGAGCATGTGAGCTGATGCAGGCATCTGCTGACACATTTCTGTGCTGCCCAGAGTACTTAACCCCCTTCAGAGCAGCTTGTTCTGCAGTGTTTGCATGCTGCTGCTGAGGCCAGGACCCCCTTTGCACTCTCCCCTTCCAGGGGCTCAGCTCCTGGTGTGGTTGCTTTGCACCCCCAGAGTTGTGATGCTGGGGGGATGCACACCATCAGCTCCTGCTGTTTTCTTGCAGATGTTGGGATGGGGACGCTGCGTGGGGAAGGAGGAGTGGCACTGAGGGGGACAACGTTGGAAGGACCCTCTGGTGCATGCACCCACATGGAGAGCAAAGGAGCTCCTCTGGTGCTAGAGAGATAAAGGCAGCAGCAAAAAGATCCTGAGCCCCTCACGATCAGGTTCTGTGCAGCAGCACAGCTTCTGGGGATGGGGACACACTGCCACCCTAGAGGGATTTGCACTGGGACGTGGTGACCAGCAGCTCTGCTCACGTTTAGGACCCCATCTTTTCGGGTTGTGTCATTGGGAAAGGGAAGGAGGATCTCTTGCTGGCAAGTGACTGCTCCATGATCTGCACCAGGTCCTGCTGCTGGCACTGCAGTGAGCTCCTGGGGCAGGGTGTGATGCTGGGAACCACAGCCATACCCTCAGCAAGGGGAAAGCACAGGCGGGAGAGGAGCGAGGGAGAAAGAGAGGCTTTCCTCAGAGCCCTGCACAGTGCTGTGGGTGCTGGCGTTGGTGATGCTCTGCTCTTGCTCTGAAGCCTCTGTGTGTAGGAACAGGAGAGCAGGCAGCAGCACCGCTGCACGGGAGTTACATGCGCAGCACGGAGCTGAGTGGCACAGAGGGCGCTGTGCGTACACGCGGGTGTTTGTGACCGCACCGTCCCACCTTGCTGGGATTTTGGGGATGATATCGGTTGTAAATGTGCGTCATGGTGACTGTAATGCTTTTGTGTGAAATAAACCTCGGGAACCACTTGGCAGCTTTCACCTGCATCAGCGCCTTGCCCTTCCTAGGGGTAGGGGGGCACCCATCCCCATAGCGCCTGGGGGTCCCTCCCAAGGACCGGGCACAGCCTCTGCGCTGCTCACAGCCCCAGGGAGGCTCTGTGCCCCATCCCGAGGTTTTGCCGGCCCAGCAAACAGCTGCACCATCCCACTCACATTTGGGATGGGGCTGCGGGGACCGAGCGGAGCCACAGCGACCATCCGGAGCCTCAGTGCCACCTCCCGGCGCTGCGCGGAACTCGTAACGTGCAACGGAAAAAAAAAGAGAAAAGCAAATTCGTCGGGTCGGTCCTGCAACTTCGAGCCAGTTGTGGCTCTTAGCTGCCATCTGCAGCGGTGAACAGAGGAGCTCCGAGGATGCATTGACAGCACCTGAGAGCCGCTATTTGTCCTCCGCAGCACCTGCGCTGCATTTCCGAATTACAGCGCTGATGGGCGGCCTCCGCTCTTTATTTGCAACAGAAGGGGTGCTCGTGTTCAGTGCTTTTTCTGGCCAGGTGGGGGTTGCAGGGCAGTGCGTGGGGCTGGGGTTGGTTTCCATTGAGCGCTTAGTGCGGGAGGAGCCCCCACTGCGGGCTGTGCTGCTGTTCTTAATGCTGTCAGTGTGGTTTTATTCCTCATTTAACAATGCTATCCCAGCCAAGGAGGCATTGCTCCAGCTGCCTCTAACTCTTGCAGAAAGCAAGCTGTGCTGATGGGAGCTGCCTGCATGCTGCTGCCCTGGCTCTGGACTTTGGGAACCTTCTCTAAGCATTCTTAAATCACTTTTCTTCCACCTGTTGTAATTACAGACCAGCTGAAGGCTGCTTTCTCTGGTGCTTGTTCCATAGGAGCTGGTTCTTGGTGCTGTGCAGGATGAGCAGCTCTTCCCCTGCCCTCAGGTCACTGTCGGAGGACAGGACAGCTGCTGTGCTGTGGGGTGAGCACAGTGCATTGCAGGGGAGCAACAAGGGATGCTTTCCCTTTGCTTTCTGCATCCCTAAAATTTGCATGGGAAGCAGCTGGTGCACTCAGGGACTGGGCTGTGTGTCCACAGGCTGTGAGCTGGGTGTGAACAGCCAGAGCTGCGTGGTGAAGGAGGATGATGACTTCCTAGAGCACCTGGTCCTGCTGAGGACGGTAAGGTGTGGGGCTTGCTGGTGTCACCGTGCTGCCCTGCTGTGGGGGCTCTGCTCTGTCATGGGGGCTTTGGCCAACCCACAGATCTCCCTGGGGGCTGATGCCAGGGATGAGTTGCACGTGGTGGCTGTGGAGTCCAAGAACACCTATGGAGACCACAAACCGGTGCCCATCGCATCCCTACGTGTCTCAGTGCTCCCCATGGTAAGCACAAGGGAGAGAAGGGAATGATTCACCCTGAGTAATCTGTGGGCTTTTTCCAGCTCTGGAATTGTCCAGGCTGTGCCTGCAAAGCTCTCTGTGCTGCAGAGCATCGGCTGTGTGGGTCTGGGGGGATGCTCTGAGCTTTGACTCTTTGCAGATCAGTCTCAAAGGTCTGGAGTTTGTCCCTCCTGTCACCTTCATGCTGCAGTGTGGAACTGGACCAGTCTATCTCAGCGGGCAGCACGTTACCTGTGAGTCCCAACTGGGCTATGGGGCTGGATAGCAGCAGGGCTGGTCCTGCAGTGGCTTTGTGGCAACTTCTGCCCTGAGGATGGGGATCCCTGTCCTACAGGAAGCACCCACACCAGGGTGCTGGGCCTGACTATGCTCCTCCCCATAGTGGAAGATGTCCCCAGGTGCAAAGCCCACGAGGAAGAGCTGGTGGATATGGATGAAGGTGATGAGGACGATGCCAGGGCAGCACGGGATGGAGAATAGCTGCAGCTCTGGATGGGATAGATCCTTGCACAAGGACACAACGGGCCTCTGCTTTGGATAGATCCTTCTCTCCATCTCAATCTTGTTCCGAGTGTGCTGCTGCTGGGATGCTGTGGGTTGTGCTGTTGAGCTGTGGGTCTCAGAGCATCCCATTGAGCACCATTGCCCCTTCCCTACACTGGCACCTCCCAGATGGTATTTAAATGAGTGTGTTGTGTCCCCCCTGTGCAGCCCTTTTGCCAATCAGTCTGCAGTCGTAATGGTGGTTTTGTTCCAGTAGGAATTACTCTGACAATTGTTTGGATAAACAGAGTAAGGTTATGTTGCAGCCTTCACAGCAGCCCAGGGAAATGCAGCCAAAGTCTGTTCAGAACAAGCAGCCATTGAAATAATCGAATTAAAGCTCCTAATTGAGGAAAATTGCCCAAATCAGTTATTTGCATGATAGCAGCTGGCTGGGAATTTCTCTGCGGTGGAATAAGGAGCAGAGTTGGGTTCTGGGCTGATGGCACGCTGGGCTGACAGCAATGGGATGAGTTTGCAAAGATGCCCACTGGACACAGCAGTGCTTCCCTACTCACCTTCCCTGCTCTGGGTTTTAATTTCCCAGCCCAGTGTGAGAGCCGTCCTTGCTGCTCTAAAAAGTCAATTAAAAGGTGGCAATTTCTCCTGTTGTGTGCTGCCAGGAGAAGCAAACAGGTAAAGTGCAGTTAGATGGTGATGCAGGGTACCACAGCGAGGCAAGGAGCTGCAAGGAGCAGCTCTCTGCCCCACAGACGTGTGGGGACAGAACTGTCACTCTGCACAAACCATGAGCCATCAACTGGACCTGGCTGCAAAAGCAGTGTGTTCCTTGCATGGCTGCAGCTGTGCTCTGAAACAGGAGGGCTGTGCTTGGCGATGCCTTCACCCCTCCTATGGCCACATCCTGTAACGCAAAGAGGGCTTTGGCATAACCATGGCAACTGCCAGGTAACTAATAGATGGCACTCAGTGCCATGGGAACCAAAGGGGAACCAAAGAGGAGTGAGCGGGGTGCTGGGCTGTGCACCTTCCTGCTGCCCTGGTGTGAGGTGTGCACAGAGGGTCGTGGTCCCATCTGTGTCGTTGTGAGGGTGGCACTGGGTGCAGGTGAGGGTTGGGGCTGACACCAATAGAAGCCCTGAGCAGTTTGTTTAATACACAGCACAGACTTCTGAAATCTTTGGGGTGGGTTTTCCTTCAGTAAGTCGGACACAAGAGCCAAACGACAGCTGAGAACGGGGAGAAACGATCAGAGTAGTGAGCTCTGTGTGGAGGAAGAGTGGGAGGCAATGTATGGAAATAGCTCAGGAAATTAAAGTTTGCCCGCGGTGTGGTTTGAGATGATTCAGTTTGGGAGGGGGGGGGAAGGAGGGAGCTGTGCTGGGGATGCGCTCCCCACGGGCAGAGCCGGCGCCGGTGATTCCCTCCTTGTCGTCCCCCCCCTTCTCTCTCTCCCTTTGCAGCTGATTGAACGAAAGTCCGGCGCGGCTTCGGGGAGGACAGCGGGGACACCTCAGTGCAACCTCTGGGATCGCAGCAGAGGAGCGGTGCAGCCCGGCTGCTGCCAGCCCTGACGTTTGGATTGCCTGGCTAATCTCGTTACGGGGACGGATGAGCAGAGTGCAGGCGCGCAGGGCTGCAACAGTGCAAAAGTAGCAGAGCATCCTTATTCGTTTACCCATTAACGTCCTTTGTGATTTCCAGAAGCATTAGGAGCTCCTTTCTGGCGGAGCTGCGATTCCCTCCTGCGGTGCCGCCGGAGCGTTCCGTGTTCTGCTGCTGAGCTCGGGCTGAGGTGAGTGCATCCCTCCCAGCTTGGGGCCGGAGCTCCTCTTTCTCCTTTCTCTTCCCTCCATGGAGCTGTTCCACTTTCTGCTGCCTCTCCTGCGGGGCTGCTTGCTGGCATCGCCTCTCTTCTGACCCCCCTGCACACCATTCCCTTGCCAGCAGGCTGCAGCAGGGAACTCCCAGACTCAGGGCATGTCCATCAGAGCCACCTGAGCCATTGGGTTTTGGGTTCCTGGGATATCCCACAGCCACCCCAAAGAGGCCATGGAGCTCGGTGGTGATGGTGCCAATGCCAGCACCTCTGGGCTGGCCCTGCAGAGCCGCCCCAACGGCAGCACACAGTTCACTGGGGTGCAGCTCATCCAGTCCTTCAAACCCCTCATCATCCCCTGCTATGTCCTGGTGGTCCTGGTTGGCATCTTTGGCAACTACCTGCTGCTCTACGTCATCTGCAAGAGCAAGAAGATGCACAACGTCACCAATTTCTTCATTGGGAACCTGGCCTTTTCGGACATGTTGATGTGTGCCACCTGTGTGCCCTTCACCCTGGCGTACGCCTTCAACCCGCAGGGATGGATTTTTGGGAAGTTCCTGTGCTACTTTGTGTTCCTGATGCAGCCCATGACAGTCTATGTCTCTGTGTTCACGCTCACGGCCATCGCAGTTGATAGGTAAGGGGACTTGGGGGTGGCACCATGGGCAGGATGGGGCTGATGCTGCTTAGTGGTGCAGCTCAGGGTGCTCAGTGCTGGGCACAGAGCTGGAAAAGGAAAATCCCAGCGCTTCTGCTGCACAGGTGCTACAGAAGAACTGCTGTTTGATGGGTTCATGCTCCCAGCTGTAGCACTTCTGGTGCTGTTAGCATTGCCCACTGCGTGGTGCAACCAGACTCTGCGTGTAGTTTTCCTGGGTGTGGGCATCCAGAGGCTTTGTCACTGCAGCAGTGCCCCTGCTCTGAGCTCAGGCTGGCTGTTGCCTTCTCTGGTGATGCCTGTGGTTTAGAAATGTGCAGATTTGCCCCTGAATAAAAGTTCCATTGACCCAAAATAGGAGGCTGTGCTGTCCCAGCAGCTTCATTGTGCCCAAGTCAGTGGTGGTGACTGTGCCAAGGGAGCTGATGCCTGGGTCCACAATGTTCCCATGCTGCCAGCTCTATCATGAACACAGCAGGGATGGGCTCCAGCAGTGTCCCAGCACAGCCTTTTTCCTCCACCTCAGAGCAGAGAGATTTTCCTCCTGGGTTTTCATCCTTTGCTGCACCAATTTTCATCAAAATTACGTTGCGTTCTGTCACCTGGATGGAGAGTGCTTGTGCTTTCTGAAATGGACACAGGCAGGACCTGATGGTAGCGTGTGTGGGGAGGGAAATATATAAAAATTGTGTTTCCATAAATACATGGCTTCATCAGAGAAGCTGCACAAGCCAGGCAGAGCCCAAACAGCTGATATTGGGGGAGAGAGCCCTGTAGCAAAGGGGGAAGGCAGAACCAAGGGAGGATGAGGTGGAATAGCTGAGAAAATTCCGTGGAGCTGTGCTGGTGGGTTGAGGTATCACTTGCATGTGCTTGCCCCATTCTTTTGCTCTTCATCAGAACTGCTTTTTGGGGGTGGAAGCAGAAATTTGAGCTGTTCCTACTACAGGGGCATCCACCATGAATCATTGCTGAGCTTCATCTCATGTGGTTTCATCCCAATCCCTTTGGCTGTGACACACCCTGGCTGCAGCTCTGTGCACTCCCAGCCCATGCCCAGCTCTGGTGCAGGGGATGCTGCAGTGTGGCTGTGCCCTGACCACAGGCAGAGTGTTCAGTCTCTCCCTCAATGAAGCACAGCTGTTATGCAGGACAGAATGGGAAGAAGCCACGTGAAATCCCAGCGTTGCCATGATGATGGTCTGGGGTGGGAAACGCGCCCTAACCCTCCATCCCCACACTTTCAGGGGGTTATGGGGTGCTCTCTCCCACAGGTACTATGCCACCGTGCACCCCCTGAAGAAACGCCTGTCGCTCACCAGCTGCATCTATGTAGTGGGAGCCATCTGGTTGCTATCCTGCGCCCTGGTGGCCCCTGCTGTGGCTCACACGTACCACGTGGAGTTCCAGCAGCAGGGTTTTGCCATCTGCGAGGAATTCTGGATGGAGCAGGAGGAGCAACGCCTGGCCTACGCCTACAGCACGCTGATTGTCACCTACATCCTGCCTCTGTCTGCTGTCTCCCTGTCTTACCTCTGCATCTCTGTGAAGCTGCGTAACCGAGTGGTGCCTGGGCATCCCACACAAAGCCAGGCTCAGTCCGACCGCCTGAGGAAGAGGAAGATTTTCCGTCTCATCGTGCTGGTGGTGGCTGCTTTTGGGGTGTGCTGGCTGCCCATCCACGTCTTCAACATCATCCGTGACATCGACATCGACCTGATCGACAAGCACTACTTCCTGCTCATCCAGCTGCTGTGCCACTGGTTTGCTATGAGCTCCGCCTGCTGCAATCCTTTCCTCTACGCCTGGCTGCACGACCGCTTCCGTGGGGAGCTGCGCAAGATGTTCTCCTGCGAGCCACGAATCCTCCCAGCCAGCCACTGTGCTGCTGCTGTGCTCTGAGCTTGGCGCCAGCACTGGGGTGTCGTTGTCCTGAATGAATGAAATAAAGCCCTGGGAAAGCCAAGCGGTGTTCGGTTGGGCTGTAGTTAGCTGCCTGTCGTGTTAATTTAATAGTAAGACTTTCATTAAATCCATGACTGGGGGTCGAGAATGGAATTTTTCATGAGGTGGTCACACCTGGTGGGTCTCTGTGTGTATCAGCAGCGTGTGCCCTGCGTGCATGGAGCTGTGCTCAGGAATCGTGGACTCATGGAGTCATAGGGTCATTTGAGCTGGAAGGGAGGCCATCTGATCCAACTCCCCTGCCATGAATTGCGGTGCCCGCAGCTCCATCAGATGCTCAGAGCCCCATCCTGCCTGACCTTGAATGTCTCAAGGTTGCACCTCTCTGGATGACTTGTGCCAGCGCCTCCCCATCCTTTAAACAGCTTTTTATACTCAGCCTAAATCTCTTTTAGCTTGAAACCATTTCCCTTTGTCCTGTTGCAGTAGACTCTGCTGAGGCATTCGTCCCCATCTTCCTTCCAGCCCCATTAGGTACCAAAAGGTGCTGTCAGGTGCCCCTGCAGCTCCGTGTCCCCATGACCCACACCCCTGGAGCTGTCCTCATTCCAGGCAGCTGTGGACAGCAGAAGCTGTGCTGACCCTTCCCCGGCTCATTTGGCCACTGCCTGGGTGCAATTTGCTGTGGGCTTGAGCCTCAATTTGCACTGCCTGTGATTGCACATTGTGTACCTAATGGAGCTGGCTATTTATAGCTGATGGGCTCTGCTCTCCAAGGCAGGGACACAGCTCCGGAATTGCTGTTTTCATACTTAATTCCAATTGCTGGAGGGGCTGTGCTCAGTCGTGGCCCAGAAGAAAGGGCAGAAGTGTGGGCACGGGTAGGGCAACCCATGTGCAGCCTGGAGGCTGAATCTGGGGGTAAAACAGGCAGTGGGGACAGCGGGGGGGGATCAGTGTGGGGCTCACAGCCCAGGTGGGTTCTGTGCCCCTGGGGGTGGAGGAGGAGGAAGAGGCACTCCTGGGGGCAGAGGTGGATGAAGAAGGGGTTGGAAATGTTCCTGTGTACACCTGTGCACAGGCATATACCTGTATGGACACACCTATGCACACACCCCTATATGCACACACACATGTACCTGTATGGGCACATGCCTGTGCAGACACGTGCAACCCTTTACAAACACATCTGTATGCACACACATCTGTGCACAGACCTGCACACACCAGTCCACACATACCTGCACACATGCACACATCTGTATGCACACATCTGCACATAGACAAAGACCTGCACACACACCTGTATGCATATACACACCTGTATGCACACACCTGTACACACTCACCTGCACACGCACAGGTTTGCACACATCTGCATGCATGCAAGCAGCTGTGCACACACACTTGGACACACTTGCACACAAACACCTGCACACTCACAGCTGCTCACACTCACCTGTGAATATGCACACCGCTGTATGCACACATCTACACACATACAGTTGTGCACATGCACACAAACACACCTGCACACACATCTCTATGCACACACCTGCACACAAACAGACCTGCACACAAACACACCTGCACGCACACACCTGCACACCTATGCACACACATCTGTATGCACACACCTGCACACACACAGACACACTTGCACACACACGCCTGCATATACACAAACACCTGCATGCACACACACTTGCACACAAATACACCTGCACCCACACACATCTGCACAACACCTGTATGCACACACCTGCACACAAATACATCTGCACACACACCTGTATGCACACACACCTGCACACAAACACACACAACTGCACACACACACTTGCACACGCACACACCTGCATGCACACACCTGCACACATGCACACACTGGCACACACGCAGACACACCTGCACACCTGCACATACATACACACCTGTATGCACACACACCTGTATGCACACACACCCACCTGCACACCTGCACACACACACCTGCACACCTGCACACACATACACACCTGCACATGCACACCTGCATGCACACACCTGCAAACACACACACACCTGCACACATACAGACATCTGCAAACACGCACACCTGCACGCACACCTTTATATGCACACACACACTTTTATATGCACACACACTCCTTTATATGCACACACATGCACACACCTGCACTCACACACCTGCACGCACACACCTGTATGCACATACCTGCATACACACACCTCCATGCACACACACCTGCATGCACACACACCTGCATGCACACACCTGCACACATGCACACGCACAGACACCTGCAAACACGCACACCTGCATGCACACACCTGCGTGCACACACCTGTGTGCACACACGCATATGCACCCACACACCTGCACACAAACACACGCACCTGTATGCACACACCTGCACGCACACACACCTTTATATGCACGCACACACCTCTATATGCACGCACATGCACACACACGCACACACACCTGCACTCACAAGCCCCGCCCACCGCACTCCCAGGCCCCGCCCACCAACCGTAAGCCACGCCCCTTTCTCCAAACCCCGCTCACATCTCGCGAGGTCACGCCTGAAGATCACGTGGCACCGCGTCGGGAGTTTCCGGCTCCTCGTCGCTCCGCACCGCCCGCCATGGCGGCGGCGGCGGCGGCGGCGGCCCCGCGCTGGGTGCCCACCCACGTGCAGGTGACGGTGCTGCAAGCGCGGGGGCTGCGCTCCAAAGCGACCGACGGGCACGGCGGCAGCGACGCTTACGCCGTGATGGCGTTGGGCCGCGACAAGTTCTCCACGTCGGTGGCGGAGCGGTGTCAGGGGCAGCCGGTGTGGAGGGAAGAGGCGACGTTCGAACTGCCGCCGCCGCCTCGACCGGCGGCGCTGCGCCTCACCGTGTTGCACCGAGCGCTCGTCGGCCTCGATAAGTTCCTGGGCCGCGCCGAAGTCGATCTGGCGGCGTTGAGGGAGGACGGAGGGCGGCGGCATTGCAGGTGAGGGGACGGAGGGACCGGCGAGGTGGGGGTCGCTGGGGGGAACCTCAGAGGG